AGAGTTTTCTGAAGTTTGTGCCAGAAAATATTAAGTTGATTTTGATTAGTTATAGAATCGATTTGTGCATAAAGATTCTGTAGATTAGATGTAGTTTGATTAATATAGTTTTTTAGACTTTCCTTAGAACAGTTCTTCCAAAGGAAATTTTTCCTTGTAACAGGTTATAAATTTATTTTTTATTTACAAATTATTCTTATATTATTATACTAATTCTTTGAATTTTTTGCAACTTGTTTTTGTAAATTGCTTTTCTACTAGTTTGGCAAAATACGAATTTATTATTTGCAAAAAATATTAGTAAAAAAAAGTTAGTTTTTTTTAATAAGTTGTTAGTAAAATTAATTAATTTAACAAAATTCGATTTTCAAATACTTATTTTAATTTATAAATTTTATAATAATTAGCTATAGATAATAATAAAGTTTTATACACTTGTATATTTTGTATGCAAGAAACTGATAGTTGTAGTAAATTAATAAGTATCTCTTCTCGAACAAGGTATAGGAAATGAGAAAAAAATCTTCAAAATTTTTTTCTAATTTCAAATAATACATCTAATAATATTTTAAATAATTAAAGAAATATTGTTAGTATAGAGGATATTGAGGAAAATATTGAATAAAGTAAAATACATTTTTTAGATTATTTTGAATTAATTATTTTTAAAATTGAATTAATTTTTTAAATTTTTTAGATTTAGAAAATGAGGAATTGGATGATTATGAATTAAAAGAGAATGAATTAGAAGAGAATGAATCAGAGGAGAATGAATCAGAAGAGAATGAATTAGAAGAGGATGAATCAAAGGAGGATGAATCAGAGAAGGATGAATTAAAGTAGGATGAATCAGAGGAGAATGAATTAGAAGAGAATGAATTGAAGGAGGATGAATTAGAGGAGGATAAATTGGAGGAGAGTGAATCAGAAAGTAGTGAAAAAATAAATTTTGAATCAGAAAAGAATTTTGATAATATTGAATTTAATGGTTATTATTTTTAATATTTTATTTAAAAAATATTTTTTTAAAAATTATTATATTAATATTTTTATATTTTAGATTTATCAAATGAAATAATTAAAGGGCTTCAGCTTCTTTATATCAAAGATAAACATACAATTTCTGATCAAGCATTTAATGAAATATTAGAAATTTTTAATATTTCTAATATTTCTCTTTATCGGCTTCGAAAAGTTTTAGGAAATTTGGTTTCACTAGAACCAAAGCTTATAGATATTTGTTGGAATTCTTGCTGTGCATTTACTGGACAAAATGCTAATCTTAATACATATCCTATATATAAAGAATCATGATATACAACTAAAAAAAAATCCAAAAAATCTCAAAAACAATTAGCATATTTTTCAATAAAGATAACTTAAAATTACAATATAAAAATCCATTACGAGCAAAAGATCTTAGATATTGGTATGAATATACATCAAGAAAAGAATATACTTCTGAGAATAGCAAAATTAGAGATGTTTTTAATGGTAATAGATATAAAACTTTAGTAGCATTAGGCTTATTTTTAGATTATAGAGATGTTGTTTTAATTGCATCTATAGATGGCTATCAAATTTTTAAGCAAAAACGAAATGACTGTTGGATAATTTTGCTTTTAAATAAAAATCTTCCACCATCAAAAAGAGTAAAAAAAGAAACTTAATAATTAATATGGTTATACCTGGACCAAAATCTCTAAAAGATTTTAATAGTTTTTTATGACCATTAGTTGATGAATTAAAGCAACTTTAATGTATTTTTTTTTTAAATTTTAAATTATATGATTAATAGTATTAAATATATTAATTAAATTAAAATTTTGTTGGTGGTATAATTTGTTATGATACAATATTAAAAGAGATATTTAAATTATATTGCTATATTCTTTCATGGTTTGAAGATATTCCTGCTTTATCTAAAGTTATGTATCTTTTAGGCTATAATGCTAAATATGGATGCTGATATTGTTATATAAAAGGATCTTATTCTGAAACTGCTAGACATATGTATTATCTACTTCAATCATTACAAAAATATAATAATTATGATCCAGAAAATTTACTAATGCGTTCTCATAATAGTTATATTCTAGATAGTAATGAATGCAAA